GCATTCAAACATTCAGTACAGCTTCATTTTAAAATCAACAGGAAGTATCAGAGTGCACAGATCTCGGAAGGTCAAAGAAAGTGCAGAGAGAGAAGGGTCTTCTCACATTCTCTTTGATCTCCTTTTGCTGTCCTCTCAGAGTCCGACGTGGCTGACTTCGACGGCCGCAGTGCCTTACTCTACCGGTTCAACCAGAAGTCCACCAGCACAGTGAAAGACGTGATTTCCCTGAGATTCAGGAGCCATCAGGCAGAAGGGGTTCTGGTTCATGGAGAGGGACAGAGAGGAGATTTCCTCACTCTGGAGCTTCAGAGAGGAAGACTCATTTTACATCTCAATTTAGGTGAGAGAAAGAGAAGGGTGGGTCACATTTCAAATTTACCTTCTATCATTTTATACACACTCATGCTCAAATGTCTTGATGGACCAGAAAGTGAAATTAGAAATTAAATAAAAGTACCTGAGATGTAGCGAGTTTAGATGCCTGGCTGAATTCTTTGTTTTAAGTTCCAAAGTCTAGGTTCCTATTCTCTGTTTTGCTGTCACTGTACAGATGATGCCAAGCCTCAGTCTACTGGTCGTTCATCTTCTGTCATGCTAGGAAGTCTGCTGGACGACCACCACTGGCACTCTGTTCAAATTGAGCGCTTTAACAAACATGTCAACTTTACAGTGGATGGACACATGCAACACTTCCGCAGTCTGGGACAAGAGGACACACTGGAGATAGACTATGAGGTGAGATCTTAATGTAAATTATTGTAAATCTGAATATAATTAATTATTTTCATTCTGTCATTTATAGATGTAATTTGTTTATACAACTCTGAAAATATGATGACAGGCTTTTCCTAATACATAACAGACACTGACACAACTAAATATTTAAAAAGAACTTCTTATTTTCATAACAGAACAAAACAATAAAAAGAAAAGAATAAGATCTATTACTGTGACATGCATAAAGATATCCCGCTCCCTTGTTATCTGAAACCATGTTTTATAACATTTTATTCAATCACTGTCATTGCAAACTTATGAAAGCCTGAAATGAAGTTCCATAGCGAACAAAGTCAGTGATTCCAGGAATTTCAGCACAACCAAACAAACAGACCCTTTGAAACACACTACCATTTAAAAGTTTTGGGTCGTTAAGATTTCTTTTCATGTTTTGAAATGTTTATATTGTGGAATAGTATTACAACTTAAGATTCTGTTTTAATATATTGAAAAGTAATTTATTCCTCTGATGGTAAAGCTGAATTTTCAGCATCATTACTCCAGTGTTCAGTGTCAGAAATCATTCTAATATGCTGATTTGCTGATCAAAAAACATTACTTATTATATACTATAGCGGGGAGAGTTGCACCAGTTCCCTTTCAGTCAGTCACGTTCTACGTTACGTCAGTCGTGACTGACGAATTGGGATCTCGCCCGAGAGCCCAATCACCTTAGAGTGTAAACTAAACAAGCCAATGACAATTGGCGTGCGTGTATCGCCACGCGCACCCCGCCCCGCAGTGCGGGTATAAAAGGAGAGTGTGTGCAAACGCACATCAGCTTTTCTCTTCGGAGCCGAGCCTTCTCAGGACGAATCTCCACGAGTGTTTGG